AGGAAGAAAAGGGGCAAAGGGGAAGGGGAAGTGGGAGGGGTAGGGGAAAAGGAAAGAAGGGAATGGAATTAATATGAGAAAATGAGAAAATGGAAACAAAATCTTTGTAAATAGAGAGGAATGGAGTGGTTGAAGGGAGGGCAGGGCAATGGGGAAAAATAAGAACCAAGAGATTATGTGAAGGTGCAAACTTCCAATGATGAATGTCATTATATTGTATACGTAAAATGTACCAATAAAATTAATTTTTTAAAAACATGGTTTAATGTAAAGAAAGTAAACACATCCCTTTCTTTAAACATGTTTCCACTAATTGAATATTAGACAATCTACATGTATGGGAGGACTAATTCGAGCCTAAAATTATAACCTCCAGAGAGGACACATTGATATTAGTTTTCACAATCTCTGCCAAGCAACACACAGGGTTTGTTGGTTCCTGAGCTGCGCTAACAAAACACCACAAAACGTATGACTTAGAAAACACAAGTTTATTGTCTCATAGTTTTGGAGAGTTGATATGCTGGATAAGGTACCTACAGGACTGGTTCCTTCTGAAGGTTGTGAAGAGAGATCTGGTCCTTTCCACTCCTGGTGGCTGCCGGCTGTGTTTGGCAGTACGTGGCTTCCGCACCAGTCACCTCGGCTCTGCCTTCATCGTCATGTGGCGTTCACGCTTTGTGTTTCAGTATTCAAGCACTCCCTTTAATAGAGACATAAACTAGAGCCTATCCTACTTCAGGATGCCTTCATCATAAATAATTACATATGCCACAATCACAGTTTCAAACATGGCCACATATTGAAGTCCTGGGGGTTAGGACTTTTACATATGGATTTGGTGGGAGTGGATATGATTCAACTCATAATAATTTCTTTTGATGTATTCTAGAAAGAAGCCTGATCATAGAATATAGATAAATTAGAACCAATTTTTAAACAAATTGAAATAGTTTCATCAGATCTAATGTTTTTTAAAAAATATATACAGTATCTGCACTCTACCAATTCAATTACCTGTGGGAAGCATTTTTCATATCAAAAAATAAAAATATCCTAGGACTATAGGAGGACTCAGCAGAGCAAAAGATATATGATGAAACAACAAGAAAATTCTGTTTATGTCAGAAAATGCTCAGTTGACTTTTAGCCCTGCAATGGATTAATTAATGGACAATTTGGAACGCCCAGCTGAACTCAATCAGCATGGTTTGGGCATGGAAGATCCACCTGAGGATTGTTGTAAATGACGTAAAAAAAACTGGAGAGGAAGATTGTGGGGTTGTTGATTTTCTAGGAGAATCTTGCTGCAGTTGGTTTTCCTTATGTGAACTAGGCTGTTCTTGAAGGAGGAGCTTCGGTGCTTCCTGTCACTGGGAATGGCTGCTGTTCTCCTCAGAGGAGCTCTGATCTTCATCATGAGTGTCACTTCCTGGTTCCAATGTAGATCCCTCAGTGTGGTGGCACAAATCCTTCTGGCAAAGATTTTTTGGCTTCCATCACTGGCCTTTGGGCCTATTGAGGTACAGATCCTCAATATGGACAAGAATGAGGCATTGCCCTGGGCACTAGGCCACTGGCTGGACTCCTGGAGGACATTGCCTTGGACTCTAGCCCTTCAGCTGGACTTATGTGGCACATTGCTGTGGGATCCAGCCCTCGGCTGGATTCTTTGGGTGTCTAGTGTGTGGCTAGTCTCTTGCACTCCTCTGCATTTGACTTTTTGGGTGACTATTATAAAATAGTCCTATAAGTTTTGTGTAATGTAGTAAATCTATTCCCTGGCAAACTCTTACATGCTTCCTGAACTAAACAAGATTGGATTTCACTTGTTTATCAAGCATCTGCAATGTGACACACATTTTTTATGATGTAAGTATTAAGAGCTTTCTTCCACACTATTGCTTACATTTGGAGGCACACAGTGTAAACAGGTTTCTGTAGCTGGCTGTCTCCTCTGCACATGCGCTTCAGGTTTCTATGTGGCATCTGCTAGAGATGCCAAAGGAAAGGGCTCCAGAGGCCACCAGCCATTTTTCTCATTCATTCCCACCTCTCAGCTTTCACAGGAGATTGAGCAACATGTTCTAGACAGAAAATAGCACCATGAATAGGACCACTTACTTCCCTTTGGTTGACTAAGACTTGATCCTGGGCCTTGCTTGCCTGCCCATTTTCTCTAGTTCTCAAGTCCTCTTTATCATCTGTAGTCCTCTTAATCAGGCTACAGTGAGTCCACTCTTCGGGGCACCAGGAATGGTGAGTAAAGAGCAACAAGTGGGACTTGATTTGTGAACTTTCCCTATGCTGAAAACACTTTCATGTCCTTTGGAAGTCCTGTTGATTTGTCTTGAATTATGAATGTCCTGTGATGTTCACAAGCCATTATCAACAATAATCAAAATTGAAAGAGAAGAAATACTGTCCATTCGGTTTCTTGTCTTTATTGTTTATTACCCAATTTGTGTGAATAATAAATGACTAATATCTCTAAGTCCACTTCTACCTAATACTATCTCTACCTAAGACTAAATACTAGGTCATTTTCTTAATAATTACGTGAAGCAAAAGATGGGTTTTGTTGATAAAAATGTATTAAATACTTTATGTTTTATGAAGAGTGTAAGCCTTAAAATACTAAAAGAATGAATTTTAAAACTTTTTCTAAAGAATTTAGTAGTTCATTGTGAATCAGAATTTGCAGGGCATTTGGATTGAATCTTATTTTTTCTAAGTAGTTTCAAACAGATATTGTGATTGCAGTTACCCAAAAGAATATATAATCTTATAAATTTTTAAAGCCAAAAGGTCTGTTTTTATTTTGCTATCAACAATAAGAATGATTCTTTAAAATCCATGAACTAATAATATTCTTTCATGGAAACTATTCCTTAACTGTCATAGAAAATTTATGATGGTTTTAAAAACAATGTGAACACTATCACAGTATCAAAGATGAAATACTCTTAAGATAGAGTCACAAAGCTCGGGGGAATCCTCCCAGCATTCTGACGCCCAGGAGGAGCGATGTCATAATGTTCTAGTTAATCTTTGGATAACTTCCTCCCCATGCCACAGGAAGAAAGCTCTGAGGAGAAATAGATTACTGAATAACCAACATCAATTTCTCAATGAATGTTATATTCTTTGTATTTTTATCTGGGGTTTCTTCCTCAGGGATTAGCAATTCTGAGCCCAGTATGGAAGGTGAGTAAAATTTTAAAATTTCATAGAAATAATAGGTAGCAAGGATGACTCTTAATCACAGAAAATTGCCATGTGGTAATTTTGTACAGAGTGGCATAGTTTTTGGTTAGACATATGGAGTAATTTAGATTTTAAATCCAAATTGTTTATAAAAAATACTGTGAAAAAAAGAAAGTAAAAAGGACATCAACATATTTGTGGTCTTCAATGTGTCACACTTTTTTAGAGGTACCTGATGTGATATCTTTAGATGAAGATAATCAGGAAGAACAAGATACAGCTAATAACCCTGCTACACATCACGAGGGAGAAAAAAATTCAAATGATATTCCTGCTAATGAGAAAACGGGCAATTACTATAAAGACATAAAACAATGTAAGTCTTTAAACTTAATAAGAATGTATACAAAACTTGATTATTCTAGTTTGACATCTTAACTCTCCTTTCTAAACTCCTATAATTATTTTCCCTACATCTTAAATTCTAACTTACCTTGAAAACTTTTCAGTGTATAAAATGAAATCCTTATTTCCTACAACTTTTTTCATGAGATCGTATGAAGTTTAACAAGGTTCTCTTGGTAATCATTTCTAATCACCATGGTTTCTCAGGACATTGTAGCTATTTATTCACAATAAAAATTGACTTAATTCAGCAGTGAGTTAGCAAGTATTTGAAGGTGAGAAGCCATTTCCTGGGCCTATTAAAACAAAGCACACAATGGGTACTAGGTGGCTCAAAACAACAGAAATCTATTCTCCCACAGTTCTACAGACTGGAAGTTTAAAATCAAAGTTTTAGTTGATCAAATAAAGCCTCTCCACACAGTACGAGGTGAGGTGAAGGTGAAGCCTCTTCAGCTCCTGGGAGCCCCGTTTGTTCCCTGTGTTGTGGCAGCATCACTTCGGTCTCTGCCTCACTCTCCTCACAGGGTTTCTCCCTGTGTGTCCATGTCCACAGGTCCCCCTTCCTGTAAGGACCTCGGTCATATCTGATTAAGAGCCCACTTACTCCAGTATGACTTCATCTTAATTACGCCTTCCACCGCCCTGTTTCCAATAAGGTCACATTCTGAGGTACCAGGTGTTAGGACTTCCACACTGGCTTTTCTGGGGGGAGGACACAATTCAACCTTTGACAGTGTGACTTCTATGTCTTTGGAGAGTCTGTTAAAATTTAGTTTATAACTCACCATTCCTCATACGGACTTCCTTTCCATGTCCTTCCTAGGTATACCATTCTAAAATGTGAAAGTTCATGAAAAATCTCTGCTTAAAAATTAAGATGATATTCAATTATGCTGGAATCTTTATTAACAATAAAAAATAGAAAACAAAGATATACATATACATACAGATGTTTGAAAACTACAATGCATAACTTATACTTCCGTTGTTTTGTTGATGACTCAATATCCCTCTTTTAATTTTATACTTATACACCCACAAAAAAGGACTCATACTAGCTTTTCTCATTTAATAACTCTAGAACTCTTTTCACATCTACCTTACTACTTTTTATGTTTTAAGTACTAGGCTTTTGCACTGAGCTATATCCGTAGCTTTTTTCTTTATACACATTTGGGTGTATCTCCCAGGCTAGATATCAACTACTGAAATTGTTCAAGACACTGTAAATCTTTTAAAATATTGGTAGATACCACCAAAGTGCCCTCCAAAAATAGGTAAATACCTATTTCTATCCTATAAAAATTCTCCACAACCTCGTCCATAATGAATATCTGCAACCAGAATATTTTGTGTGATAAATGAGAAATATATTGTCACTTACACTGTAATACTTTTGAAGTTGAGTATTTTCCCTCTTATTTATTGGATGTTTTCATTTCTGCTTATTACTTGTTCTTATTACCTTGTTCTGCTTATTACCTGCTCATAATCTTGCCCTATTTTTACATAGTTTATTAATTTTTCTATAATTTATTAAAAGCTTTCTCCTACACTATTGCTTACATTTAAACTTGTTTAAGTATCTTTAATCCTAAAGAAAATTTCTCATTTTCTGAAATCAATTCCATTGATTCATTTCTTTTAAATTCTATATTTTATGTCTTGCTTAGACAGGACTTTACCAGTCTAAGCTATTAACTTATTTCCCTAACATTTTCTAAGAATGTCCTGTTTTATATTTAACTCATATTTCTTAAATCTTATTTTGTTTTTATATGGCATAAAATTGGAATTTAAAAATATGTTTTTGAAAGATAGAATAGCTGATTGTCTAAAAGTGATTGTGGATATTCATATTTAATATAATCTAAAATTCTCATATGAGAAAGAGTCAATTGTTGAAGTTTATTGTCTTTTTTCTGATCTTTTTCTACAAAAGTAGCACAGCATTTTAATTTTTATACTTTCTTAACTCATAAGCTTTATTTTATTACCTTTATTTTTTCCAAAGATTACCTCAGAAATTCCACAAAAATATTTCAACATTAATGATGCCATCTTTTTCATGTGTTGCTGAGGAAAATGAGTACATGTGTACGTATTCATATCTTCATGTATGTATAAAATTCTCTGCCATTCCATGAGACTTTGGAGATGATAGGTGTGTACAGGTATTCAGATTGCCATCTTGACACAATTTACTTTGATCCCTTGAGAGGATGAATATGTTCATTAGCTTTTGAATTATAGTCAGTCCCATTAACTTTTGAATTACAACCATCCTAAGAGCAGGATTCTTTATGTGTAATTGCTAATATGAGTCTATGTGGCAAACCTTATTATTGAACTATACAGTTCTTACCCTGAGGGTTCCTTGCCCTATCAGAAGGTTCAGATGAAGACTTCTTACTTAGTGTTTTGGTGATGTCAATCAATCAGTGATAATATTGCAGGTCTTCAAATCTACTTTGGCATCTGTGGTAAACTTGCACATTTTTCTGTGAATTTCCTTAGAAATTGCTTCTTAGTCATTGAGCTTAAAGACATTATTTTAGTTTTCTTCTCAAGAATTTTCAACATAACCCTTGCATCTACTGTCTTATTTTAAGCATGAAAAATGAATCAAATATTTTTATAATTTGTGGGGAGGATCATTCAGTACACTTTAAAAAATCCTATGAACAAAAAAATAATGGACAACTGACTTAACTAATCAGGACTTTTGATTTTTCTCTTTTTAAGATGTGTTCACTACACAAAATTCAAATGGCACTGTGTCTGAAATATCTGTGAGAGCAACAACAGATCTGACTTTTGCCCTAAGGAACCGTGAAGTATTGATGACACCATTACACATGTGAAAGCCCTTAAATCAGGACTTCAAAGCAGCACCAGAGAGGTTGTGGAGGAAAGAAGCTTTAGCTCCTAAATAAACCTAAAATTTCCCAGGTCTATTCTGTGACTCTGGGGCCCAGCTGAGTTCTGGGTCATCCCCTAGGTTATTTTCACAATTCCTCACACATCATATTCTCTAGGCTCTATTCCATTGCACTGACAACTCAAAAGGCAGGGAGGGTCTTGTGTTTCTGCACCTCATATATTTGGTTTGCATGGAAAGAAAATTTAAGTATCTAGGAAATTATAATGTTTCTTAAATTCACATTTTTGCTCCTGTTTTTTACCCTCAACAACTTTGAACAAGGACGAGAGACTATTTCTAGCGATGGCAATTTTAATATTGGGACAAGCCAAGCTCACTAAATACTTAATTATTAATAAAGCTACTTGGTCCTAGTGGAATATTTTGAACAATTCCAAACCTTGAGACAGTGATAGTTCCAGAAAAGACATTAATTAGACCATCCTTCACGGGAATCTTGCTGTGCACAGTGAACAGCATCTTGAGTTGTTTGAGACAAGATACAGAAAGCCAGCTCCAAAGAAGACCAGGTTTCTCAAGGATTCCCTTAGGATATGGGCTACTGACAACCATAAGACCCACACAATTGATTCCAAAACCCTAACTTCTATTCCAACAATTGAGGCACCAGAGGCATCAAGAAATTTAGCCTAGGATGAAAGATTCCTAACATCTTAACAGAGGCTCTGACACATGTTCATACATGGTAGGGACAACCTAGAGGTCAAGCCCCTCAGGGAAATAGAGACAAGGAAACAGAGATCTCTAGGATAATTTTGACTAAAGAGGGCTTGTTTAAGTATGATTCCTAAAGTTCTGAGGGCAAGGGGATAAACTGAAGCAGTCAGCTCACTCTCTGCATTAATGGGCGCATAGGAGAGTTTAAAGATGGGTTCTATCTGTAGCAATGTCAACTCCAGTAATAGAGTCCCTTCTCCACTTCTCTTGTCAGCTGGATACCAGTAATGGGTTTGTGGGCTGTGCCTGAATTCATTTCTGTCTCTCTGTAGAACTCTTCCTTTATGGGGTGGTCTGTATACATATGGAAATTATACTCTAATTCAATGGTTATGTTCAATATTGACCTTATGGGAAATTTGATTTGGTCCTCATTCTGTTCAGTTTGTGATCAGAATCATGGAAAGAATTAAGTTCGTGAACCAAGGTTCTACTATACTGACTCCTGTATTTAGCAAAGTTAAATACTATGACCAAACTTCATGGAGAAAAGTGGTTTTCCAGGCATAATTGTTCCCAAAGCCTTTTTTGGTGCACGCCTGCAGAGACACACATTCTAGATTGAGTTCCAAAATCTTTACATTCAAAACTCTTTCCCAATGGACAAGACACTCATGCTGCCTCTCTCTTTCCTTTCTTTACACTGAGCAAAAGCCAGGCCACTTGGTAATGAGAATCTCATTTCAAGACCTGTGCAGGGTACCTGGGAAAGCCAATCATCTAAGCTAACTGCTTTCCCTCTCCTCTATAGGAAGCCTGTGGTCTCATGATCCCTGCTTTTCTTTCCTTTCACAATTTAGGAACTCTAATCTCACCCAAGGCAACTCATGATCACAGAAATGCTGTTCTTCAATCCCATCTTCCTTCCCATTTTTTGCTACTTCAGGATGATGTCAATGTCTTTGTTTTTAATTTCTTCTCTCTCTCCTCTTCCTTCCATTTTTATCTTTAGAATATGCTTGTTTTTAGATGCTTATTTCATATTTTTATGTGGTTAATAATTCTTTACCTCTTCTCATAGACAGAATTAGTGCAACACCTACAAACAAGAAAGAAGAAAATGAAGCCTTGCTTAGAAATAACCAAAGTATTAAAATTATTTTGATGTATTCATTGTTAGCCACATCATTAAATGACTTGAAAATTTAAGAGTCACTATTCTGAGCATTGCATAAAGAAATAATATGCTTAAAGAGTTTATACTGTTATATTTTAAAGTCACTCTAAAATCTTGTGTAAGTGGTTAATGTTTGAGAGTGAATTTTTAGGTATACCTGACAAGCTGTAATAACTGAGCTTTTTAGAAATTTAAGTTTATTTTAATAAATGTGTTATAATTATATAAAATTATATTTATAAATGATTGTACTTTCACAAGTATATAAAATATAAATATATTTTAAATATAAGTTTATTCATATAAATATGTATATGACTTGTGTTTCTATAAATGTAATATGTTAAATATATTATAAATGTAATATATTTTGATAACAATGCAAAAATTTCTACCTGTTTAAGGAATAAATGTATTTCTGATTAGAGTCAATAATTAAATGTTTCCTAAGATTATTCCATTGATGAGTTTCTTGAGTGGGAGGCTGCAAAATAACAATCATCAGTTTACTTTCATGCCAAGAATATTGTTCCTTATAAAATATTTGTGAAGCCCTAACAACCCATATGGCTTCTATAATGTCTTGAATGAGTAGTCTTTTTTGAAGACAATGAAGTCTTAACTTTCATTCCTTTTTTTAAAAACAGGAACAACCTCAAATGTGCCTGCATTTTGGTCAATGTTAGCTAAAGGTAAATATACAGTTAAATAGTTGAGGAAATGTTTTGGTTTTCTAAAATCTCATGTAAGAAAGCCAAGGTCAGTCTTAATACTTCTAATACTAAGAATCAATAAGTGAATGTTTGGCTGCCACATGTAATAGCAAATGCAGTACAAAACCCAGAGAGGTACTGAAATCAGTGTTTTATTCTCTCTCACAAAAAATGTTTTATTCTCCTACAAACATTAAAATCTAGTCACTCAATTTATGATTAAAAGTGTTAAATAAGACTATTCTTGCCTGCTATTGTCCCATTTTGTGTTTGAAACAATGTGAGCATAAAAACACAGGGATGCGTATATAAATGCAAATTATATATCAAAATCTATGCCTGTAAAAAGGAATGTGTATAACCTAAGTATATAACAGTGCATATATAAAACAAGGTACATATCAATCTATACATATTTATATAAATATATACTTAGGGAGGTGCATACATATAAATATATTGCATGGATCATATATATCTATTTCTGTATGTATATAAATGTGAAATATAGCATATTCAATCCTCATTGTTTGCCTATACTCTATTTATATTCTGTACCACCTGCTCATTAAGATCTCTGTCATCCCCAAAATCAATACTTAACAACTACTTCAAGGTCATTTCTGAGCATTGGCAGGGATTCAAAAAACTTTTTATGCATGACACATACAGTCAAACCTTGATCTGGCCCCCAAATGTCATATTAAATTGCTGGTTATTCTTCCTGAATGCAAGAAGCCTGTAATGTGCCATATGGAAAAGATCCATGTGCTAAAGGAGCTTGGTTCAGGCTTAAATTACAGAGCTCTTTACAATATTGAACATAATAACTATCATGAATAGTGAGAACAAACTGAACATATTATACACACATACTTATACACATATAATAATTTTACCAGGTGATTGTTTGCCATAACACCAATTTATTGTTTTAACAGCTATAAATGTAATGACAGTGAGCATGGATGATAAAGATCAATTACTTTAACCAATTCCAGGTAAGAACAAAGCATTTCAATTAATAGATACATAATTCATTTTAGTGGCTACAAGGCAATACTGTTTTCCCTAGTACAGGGTAATGTACATAGGAGGGTATCCTGATGGCTAACATTGTATCAGAGGGGACATTTACTATTTTAGGAGAGTCACAGTCTCTGAGCACACTTCTTTTTTTCAGTTTTTTTTTTTATTAGTGCATGTTTACAGTACATAATCATTACATTTACCATGGGGAATTGGTACATGGTGGTTTTTAATTATTACATGTTTGCACAACATAGTGATCGCATTCCTTGTGGTGAGTTGCTATATGTACATGACACATGTTTTTTTTTTGTTTATTTGTTTGTTTTTTGGTACCGGGGATTGAACTTGGGTCCTTGTGCTTGCGCAGCAGGCAACACATGTTTTTTGATCCGCTTCCCCTGCTTTCCTACTCCCTTCTCTCCATCTCTTGGTCCTCTTCCCTTTTGCAAGATATTTGTCTCCCTTTTTTCTATTATCTGTCTTTCATTTTGTCCTGAGTGTTGTCCTCCAGTTACCATTTTACAGGTGACCAGTACCATCTTTTTGTTTCATAGCTTCTATTCCCAGAACAGATAAGCCAAATAGAGGAGAGGGTGAGTGAGGAACATGTACAATGCAGTCTTTTAAAAACAGGCTTAATTTTAGACATGATTTTATTATTTGTTGTAGAAGGTTTAACAAGTTTCTTCCTCTTTATTTTGTAATATCTGGCACACTGGGTTTAAACTGCTTAGTAATAAAAAGTCAAACTTAGCTCTTTGGTCTCACGGGATAACCCTCAGTACACCATACTTTCAGCTTTAGGGGAAATCAGGACATTCCCCAATAAAGCTCTTACCTTTCTCTCCTGCAAGACTAGTTCCTTGTGTTAAAATTAATCAAAATCTCTTCAGATGATAGATTGCTCAAACTCATGTCTAGGAAGGGCAGGGAGAAATCCGTTACATACATATTTTGGCATATGGTAACCCAGGATAAAATCAGATTGTTACTGGCTATGTCTCAGGGGAAAATTCATAAACCTCTATGATTCTGTAAAATTGAGCCAAGGGCGGCTGCTCCCAGATTGCCTGGAACGTTAAAGAGAAAAGGGCACTTGCCTTGGCAGTGGCCTCCCTTCCCTTGGGTGTGAGCAGTGAGTCCTGCAGATGGTGGCGGCTTCTCTGCAGCAGCTCTGCAGTCCTTACTCCTGCAGGAAGTGTGCAGGATACACTATTTTCCATGGCATCTTCCTTCTTTCCTCTAAGGCTCTGATGTAAATGCTACACATGAAGAAGAGAAACAATCATACCTAGAGGATCTCAAGCTCAGGTTAATGCTGGGCATCACACTGATGACCTTCCTCATTTTTATGCCCCTTGTGATATTCTGCATTGCCACACTGTACAAGCTGAAGCAGCTGAGGTAAGCCTACTGACATCTGTGATCTTTATAACTAACACGTACTGTGCAGCTGACTCCCTCCTGCTTTAGTAAACTGTTAGGAAAATGTGACTCCTATATAATATAACTACAACGTATTCATTTTACTCCATTTCTCCTACTCAGAAGGAGCATGGAGCCATCTCTCAGTGACTATTCATTCTGGTCCACAGGTAGAAATAATCAGAGTCAATTGGAGAATACATAGATGATCTAGATAATGCTTGTTTATAGCCTTGGAGCAGAAGGGCTATATATTCTCTTCTGAATAGCATATCTGGCTTAGGGTGTAACACTTTTCATTTAAGCAAGTCTTGCCTTCAAAAACCAGCCGATCTCTCTGTCACATTTACACCTTAAGGCCTATCCATTTGATCTTTCTTTAAAAATAAAATATTAAGTTCAAATCAAATCTGGGTGAGGGAATTGTTTATTTAAAATGTCTTCAAACAGTATCAAAATTACTTTCAAAAATTCTAACAAAATTGCCTTATGTTCACAGTAATGATCAATTATACTTTTTTGCCTATGGTGTTGTTCATGAGTGGTATATTTTTCTGATTCTTTAAAACTCTAATGCTAGGTATTTATTTCTTCTAATTCTGATTCATTTTGCATATTTCCTATTAAACTTGTATTAAAGCAATCTTTACTGTTTTAGTAAATTGGTTTCTAAATTATAGTCTTGAGATCTGAAACATGCTCCATTCACACAAGCCCCAGTACCATAAAATTATAATTTTTAAAATCCTGTATCATTTATGTAATGTTATTGAGTAATAAAATTGAAAAAATTCATCTATACTTTAATTTTTGTGAAAACTTTTCTAAGTTCAGTCACAAACATACCCAATTATAAACAATTCTTAATCTATGTTTTCTTTTTCAGTCACAAAAGTTGTCAGAGTCAATACTCCACCAACCCAGAGCTGGCCATGCTCTCGTACTTTCATCCATCAGAAAGTATATCAGATACTTTTTCCAAGAGTGCAGAGAGCACCACAAAGTGGGGTACTGACCCTTCAGATATGAGAAAGCCAAGCACAAGAATGTCTAAAAATATAACAGGCTCAGATGACATAGGCTTACTTGATGAGTCGGAGTTATTCAGCAACGAGGAAGCAAATGAGGAAATCAATGATGTCGACAATGAGAACTCAAATGAGGAAATCAATGATGTCGAATAGATAACATTCTCTTATAACTAACAAATGATTTTTCTTCCTGACATTAATGTCGTAATTTTGAATCTACTGAGATATTTAAATTTTCTGATGTCTTAATGTTACCAGACTATGGACTGGCCTTCTCATCACTCAAAAGCAAATAATCATGACACAGAATATGATATGGAATCAGATTTATTCAGGGGCAAATAACTTGGAAGATGGGGAGGCAGTATTGTCCTCTAGGGTCTATCTTGGGGAATGCAGGGGTACAAATTGGCTTTAATATGGAGAGAAAGGAGGAACAGGGCATGAGGTTTATGTGCTGAGGAAGTCTTCCGCATCTTGGGCATGTGTCTTTCCTTTTAACTTTTCTGGAACATCCCAATGGACCCAATTACCTCGGGTTAGTTCCTCTAGTTATTTTTAGACAGACATTTTCTCCAAGTTAAACCTCATAGCTCTTTGCATGCTTTGTTTTAGTTGAGTGACAAGGTAGAAGAACAAGAAGGAACATAACATATTCTGATATTATCTAAAGGTCATACGATGTTCTATATTCTATAATTCTAAAGAAAGATAGTTTAGAATTTAGCACCTTAACCATTCAGGTTGGGCTTCTCTTTAGGATGCTGGACAAAAGACAAGGGATGTCAAAAGAATGACAAGGGAGGGGAAGCAGCTTTGTGGAAAGGAAAAGGGAGTGGCTATGAAAGTAACTCTGCCAAAGACAACCTTCAGGCTAACGGTACTGTTACAATTCTCCACTGCCAATTATTCTTTCATTTCCATGGGAAACTGGATGTTGACTATATTCTGGGTACTTCTTGGTGAATGGAAGTGACATGGGGGAATTTTTGTATTGGAAGGCTCTGATGTGGTGAAATGCATACTTTTTATTCCTTGTTTCTCCCCATTGGGAAGAGGTGGTCAAAGGTATTTTTCCCTGTAATTTCTGTATGGATAATATGATACTTTTAAACCCTAAGTAGACTCTCAATATTATTATTATGAGTGTTAATCTTAATTTAAAAATTCCTTCAAAGATAGATCTGTTCCCAGATATCAACAGGAATCTTCAACTCCTTAGATAAAGAAAGTTTGATGCTCCAAAGTCTGTTGGACCCATGTAGCCTGTTGTCTAATCTTATTAATGCTCATTTCTACTTGGGACAAAGTATTTAATGTACAAGGAGCAGGATGTATTAACAATTATACAAATAGCCCTTGTCCAGCCAAGATATTGTTTAATGCCATTCTGTCACTTAACAGCATCTTTTTTCTTTTGCAGTCCTGGGGATTGAACTCATGGTCTTCATATAGAGCTTCATCCCTACCTCTTTTTAAAAGTTTTTATTTTGAGACAGGGTCTCATTAAGCTGCCTATGCTGCTCTTTAACTTGTAATTCTCCTGCTTCAGCCTCTCAGACTGCTGGAATTACAAGTGCACCACCATTTCCAGCTACATAGCATCATTTTTGCCAAAGAACCTAGAGATTCATATCTTCATAATTACATCTTAATTATCTTGTCCTTTTGGAGAAATATTTAAGATCCTCTCCTAAGGTGCAGGTCCAGGCAGGATCTGAAAGAGGACCAGAAGTATGTCCCACTTGTAGGTCTTGCTTTACTCTAGAGTGAATAGTTCTAAGGCTCTGCTCCTATGAGCTCGATTCCAGGATGGAAAGTGTGATGTGGCTCATCTGCAGGGTGGGCAAACATGGAGAAAAAGCAAAGAGACACAAGGAAGTTATATCTGATTGAATTGCTGCACATATTTTTAAAATCCTGGTTTTATTTTCTAATTTAAAAGGTGGGTCACCTAACATAAACACTGCAAAGTATTTGCCATACACAACTTTAAAAGGACTTAATTTAAGCCCACTTTGGGGTTATACCCTAATTCAAAGAAGTACAATGGACAAAACCTTGTCCTTCTTTAAATGGATCTGTTGACAAAGTTTAGCTAGAGTCCTTTTAAGGTCTGATTCATGTTTTCTGTTATTTCTTTGGATTTCATTCTTTATAATGATGAAGTTTCCAAGCTATTTGTAAAGATTTACTCATCTTTTGGGTGAGTAGAAACAAATCATGGCCCCTTTTCATTTTAAATAAATGTCAGTAGTCCAAACCTTGGAATAAATATTTGAGCAAATATTTAGTCAAGTCAGTTGTCTTCTCAGTTCTAACAGAATATACCTCTATCCAGCCTAAGTACACACAAATACTAATAAATTAAATTACCCAAAGACTACTTGCCAGTCTTCAGAGAAACATATACATTTATACAGCACCCCTTTCTGAGGTTAGATGTGTTCAGTTGAGTTCATTTTAGCACATGGCATCCTTGTGTAATTCTTTGAGTAGCCTTTTAAAGATACAGGCCTTTCAAGTAAGGCTGTAGTAAGTCTGTTAACACATCCTTGTCATGATGTGTCCCTTTGTGTAGGTAGATGTTTGAAAATTACGCACACCAGGGATTCACAGAGTAAAATTGCCCTGTCATTAATTTTCCACAGTGAGTGTCTGTATTAGTGAAGCCCTGTTCTCAGGCACATTTCCCATCCTTCACTATGTAATGAGGCTTAAACTTAGCCAAGTCTAAACCGGATATCAAAGCCCTTCTCTCTAACAGCTTGTTTACCAGCTCCTTCAGCTTTCTGATTCCCTCTAGTCATGTGGGAATCATCCTTTTGTGTAATGGACAGTGCACAATAGTTCCTTGGTCTAGTAAAGCAACTGTTTCAAGTAAGGCCAGAATTTCCATCAGATGTTTGATGTCTTGATTTCCCAAAGAGACCTCTTTCTTTCCAAGTAGTTCTAGGACATGTACTTTCATAAAAGCATAATTGAAAGCAGTATAGATGTTTATTCATTTTCCTTGTGAAAACTAAAGCTTTAGTGAGTGCAATTCAGCTTTTTGTACAGAACTGGGAGAGCATGAGCTTCTATTACCTTATCCAGCATCATTACATCTTACTCAGCTCCAAATTGTTTTTCTTCCAAGAAGCTACACTCATCAATGTATAGTTTCCAATAATGAGCTGCCACAGTTGACCTTATAAATCCAGTCTGCTTGAATAGACTGCACTGAGAATTTTTAAGCAGTTATATTCTAAATCAGAGTCAGTTTCTGGGGCCAGGGATTTAGCTCAGTGGTTCCGCTGCCTGCCCTGCAAGTGCGGACCCGAGTTCGATCCCTGGTACCAAAAACAAAACAAAACAAAACAAAAAACCCGAACAAACAGAGTCAGTTTCTGTTCTTGAGAGCAAGTGGATGGATTTCTGGCTGTGGCACTTTTCAAGGCAATGTTTAGATTATCCAGAAAATAGCCTGATATTTGCCCATTCCCTGGCTGTCAACAAATATCCTCATTTTGTTATAATACAATCAATACCTGATGAAGCTAAATACTGTGCTAGTCTTGCACAGGTGAATGTTTTTGCCTCTTGCAGAATGTCATAAGTGGCTGTGACTGCTCAGAGACAGGATGGCCATCCTTTGTGTATTCCATTTGTTTGAAGAAACAAGCTACCAGTTGAGATGATTCTCTGAACATTTAGATGAGTATTCTAAATCTATGCCCTGTTCCTCATAGCCAAGGAAAAAACTTGAAGGGCTTTCAAGGGATAGGTAACTGCAAGGCTGGCACTGATGTTAATTTTCAGGGTCAAATACTTGTTGGCACTCAGCAGTCCTGTGTAAGGGCTCTGAGCCCACCCATCCCTTTTAAGCCTTCATAAAGAAGTCTAACTCTGAAGTCCAAAAGTAGAAACCCATATTCAGCAGAAGCCTGCCATGTGCACAATGTTATCAAAAGCTCTCAAATCTTGAACAAATCCACATCTGTTTGTATAAGGTTCCTTTACTGGCAGTACTGGAATATTCTAGGGTGATCTACAAGGCTGACTTGGTTCCTATTTAGGAAATTTCTGCAAACCAGCTCAATTTTTTTCTAAGCCTCTTTTTTGAGAGGGTACTGTTCTTTCTCAGGTATCGTAGCTCCCTCAGTTAATTCAGTATTTATCAGTTGTGCATATTGTTGCCATCTGGCTGGTGGGTTCTTCTCTCAACCCAGAAAGAATTGCAAGGCAGAGAGTCAAGAGAGAAATGATCAAAATCATTTATTGTAGAGCGAAAGCAGAAAGCTCCCAATACCAGGAAGGGACCCAAGTGGATTGCCACAGGGTGTCTCTATCTAGAGGTTTTTATACACAAAAACGACTACTTCTCAGACCAATCTGGGCCAAGTAGAGGTCAGCCTATGGGATTACAAAGCGGGAAAGTCTGACCAGAAGTGGGCCTAAAGGAACTTGGGGAATGTAGTAAGCACAGTTTTGCAAAGCACTATTAATTGTAACTTTAAAAAATTATCATCACAAGCAGAACAAAGGCGCTCTTCAGAGGGGTATGAATGGAGGCTGGTAGTACTGGGTATCACCTTGTTTTTATCACATTCCTGGACAGGAGGATCCCACTAGTCTAATGTGAGACCTCTGTTCACCAGGCTACCGGAGCCCTGACCTTGGCCATATGGTCCCCATCTTGAGCCTGGCTTTTTGTTAGCCCTCAGTACCAGGTTATGTTGCTGTGGTGTGTTTCCCTTTACCTTAAAGTACGCAGGGCCAGTTCCTATGGATGGCTGTGGTGGCTGAGAACAGGAAGCACTTGCCTTAGAGCTGGGAACCAAGTTGTTCCATGTCCCCAAGGGTAGGTCTTCCCAGTACTACCCACCCTGGGAAAAGAGCCTTAAGTATTAGCCCTTATTCCCTCCTGTCAAGAGTGCAGGTGGAGGTGGGTCCTTTCAGGTCATTATTCATGGGGGTTTGGGGTGGTCACACAGTATCTGAAACACTGGGTTGGTGGAGAGCAGTTCCAGAGAGGATGGTGAGTGTGGCCTGGCAGAATGAAATCCCTCCCACCCCTCCCCTACCCACTCTCCCCACCTCGAACATTGGAAGGAGCTGGTGATGATGAGCAATGAGAAAGAACTCCAGGCACCTGTTGAGCTCCTTGCAGGTGTTGCCTTGGCCGCTCAGATCCCAGGGTAGGCCAAG